CCTGCATCTCATCCGCTCGCCTCCTGATCTCCTCGTTTTCTCGCTGGATGGCCTCTTCCCTTTCCCTGGATCGTGCATTCTCCTCTCTCAAGTTGTTGATCAATGCCATCATCTCCTCCATGGTAGGGTGTTGTGAGTCACTGTTTGATGTGCCGCTTCTCGCCATAGCAAAGTGTAGGTTCTTCCGTATTGCTTGGGGCGTAGGAAAAGTTTCACCGTAGCCCCACGGTGGGCGTAGGAAATGTTCCGGCCAAAGGGTGGACTAGGGTTTCTTCCTAGGTCAAGCCTCAAAGCCAGAGCATTCAAAAGTAGGGGTGTTCACAAAACTATTTAAAACTAAACTTTTTAAATAACTAAACTAAACTAAACTAAAATAAACTAAATTATTATTTAATAGTTTAAACCAAACTATTAGTTTTAGTGTAGTTTATAAAGCTAAACTATTAAAATTAATAGTTCAGTTCACTAAAATCAAATACAAACACTGAAGTTGTGAAACACATTCGCGCGGAGACTTCGTACCAGACTATTCGGACTCGCGGAGACATAGGGCACTGAACGCTAAAGCTGTGAAGCACATTCGCGTAGACTTCGTACCAGACTATCATTAGTTTTGTTTTGTTTTTGTCTTTTTTCATAAAAAATCCTCACTTGCTCATTGTTTTTGGCTTGTGCAATGGCTTTGGACTAGACTCTTTTTTGGGTTTTCTTGTAATACTTGTTTTGCATTTCAAATTATTTTAAATTTAATTTATAATTAATATTAATGATTTGGTAGCTTAATTTAAAATTTATTTTAAATTTATTTTTTTAATGTAGTTCAATTTATTTTATAATTAATAATAGTTTAATTTATAATTAATAATAGTTTAATTTAATTAATATTATAGTTTAGTTCAAACTCCTAGAACTATAGTGCACTAATCTAGATAATAGTTTAGTTTAGTTTAGTCAATATTTATTTTAGTTCAATTTAGTTTGGTGAACTATTTATTATAGTTTAGTTTAGTTTTCTTTTAGCTTAGTTTAGTTTAGCAATTTGAACACCCCTATTCAAAAGTGTAATCTGCGGTCTTAACTCTAGGGTTTTAGGTTTTATACTTTTCTATTCATGGGCCACCTGGGCCTTGTGAGTGCGAGGATTTCCATAACGGTTTTCCTTGGGAATATTTGATTATCAAAGATAGGCTTTTCATCCTTGATTTTCGGACTAGTCCAAAGGGTGAGACCCACTCGGACTTTGGCCGACCATACCCTGGCCGAGCTCATCATGGCCGAGCACACCCTGGACGATCTCACCATGGTCGAGCATAGCCTGACCGATCTCATATCAACCGAGCACATCCTGGCCGATCTCACCATGGCCGAGCACAGCCTGGCCGATCTCACCATGGCCGAGTGCAGCCTGGCCGATCTCACCATGGCCGAGCACACCCTGGCCGATCTCACCATGGTTGAGCACAGCTTGGCCGATCTCACCATGGCCGAGTGCACCCTGGCCGATCTCACCATGGTCGAGCACAGCCTGGCCGATCTCACATCAGTCGAGCACATCCTGACCGATCTCACCATGGCCGAGTACAGCCTGACCGATCTCACCATGGCCGAGTGCAGCCTGGCCGATCTCACCATGGCCGAGCACACCCTGGCCGACCATACCCAAGCTGGACTAACTCACTTGGTTGGATAAGGTCGGTCTTTTCACCGAGACAACTCCTGTGAGGGTGGTCGGGTCATATTCTAATCGGGCTCACCCGTATTATAAAATAGGATCGGTCCTTTGCCGAGTGACCCCTCGTGGCAGGGTGACGTGGGTCTCGGTCCTTTTTCCCATGCCCATATCAGAAATAGGCCGAGACAGTACATTTGTAAATTTCTTTTATTAAAATATATGTGAAAAAAAATATACAGATGTATTTTTAATAATAAAAAAATATTTTGATTCCTTAAACAGTATTATATTAAAGACACTGGTTAACATTTTTATTTATTTATAATTTTTATACTATTTTATTAGAATTAATATTCTTTTAATAAATACCCATTAGTTTCATCATCCCATATATGTTTCTCTTTATATTTTCTTCCTATACTCTTTTTCTTTATTGCAAAGATTTTCGTAAAAACCATTATTTTTATGGTAGAAATAATATGGTGAATAATAGTGACTAACAGTGTAGATGCCGACGGACAATATATATTTCTTGTCAAATCTAAATCTTTATGTTCCCTCAAATAATCAGTTGGCGGCTAATCAAAATTATTCAATCACATTAATCATATGTGCATAAGGTGATGAATTTAGGAAGTGGTCAATGGTGACTGGTGAGCATGACATCTCTTCAATTTTTAATCTATTAAAGACTTACTGAATTTAGATAAATCTGACGACACATATATCTTAAAGAAATATTTTATATAAAATAAATAAAGTATAAATATTAAAATTAATTAATATCATTATTACTCAAGACACGCACAAATTAATGTAGAAATGTGTATTAAGTTTTATAAAATTAAGTATGACTTGTTAAATGATATTACTAATTCATTATAATTTATTTAAAAATTTATTTTGCAAAAAGATATAAATTTATCTTTTAATAAATTTATAAGTGCGCTTAAGTCAACATGTTTTATATTTAAAAATATAAATAAGTATATAATTTTGTAGTATTCTAATTTTTATTGAGAGGGTTTGGTTGAAAAAGTTTAATTGAGAAAGTTTGACCAAGTACTTATTCGAGTATGCTGTCAATTATATCTTTATTTATAAAACTGTTAGATATTTATTCAATTCCAAATTTATATCTAATACAAAATTTAGTTATTAATGATTAAGATTGAGTGTTAACAATATTTAATAACATGTAATTAAATTTTACCAAAATTTTTAGAATTTTCAAGATTTATAATAATACAACATTTATATATAAAATTTGGATTCTAGGACAAAGTTAAAAGATTACACTATTTAAACAATTTAAGTTTTGGACTATAATTAGGATCTTCTAATAAATGGTCCTTTATATTGGAACAAATTTTAATATATCACAAAAAAAATATAATAGTAATACTAATAAAAAAAATTATAATCATTTATTCATTTTCTCTTCCATCTCACTTTCTTTTCATTTTTTCTTTTATCTCTCTTTTTAATCATATACTACTTATTATATCTATTACTTTCTCTTTATTTCTCTTCTTTATAATTATATATTTATCTTATTATGTAGCAAATTTAAAATTTATTGTGCAATAAATTAAATTAAATTTATTATAATTTGATATTTATTTTATTATTTAAGTATATCAATTTATGTAAGTCTTTTAGATATTAAAAAAAAAATATGTTAATAGAGATATCCAAAATAAATACACAAAAAAATTCTTTTTTTATTTTTATTTTAACTTTTTGGCAAGCTAACTTGTCAACCCGTAATCGATTCATAGAGTCATGGTATTTAATCCATTTTATTTAATAGACCAATTTAGCCCGATCTATTTTTAGTAAATTGATGATAAGATAAATTAATTTAAACAGACTAAACCGATCAATTTATCATCTTATTTTCAATGACCTTTGCGTAGTATTAAAATCATTTTAATACTTCTTTTTGTCATCTTTTCCTTAATTAGTGTCACAAATATCTCACCGTATACAATTATTTTGTATCTTGTCATTTCTAACAAGATTACACATGTTTATATTATTAACATTCTCAATTCTTTAACTCCCACATTTTTTTTTCTTTGTTATCCCTTTGAAATTAATCATATACACCACTACCATAGAAAATAATTAGACGTTTAGTTACCCCTTTAAACTTTATAGCGGTACTTTCTAATTATCACAAATACCCGTCTACATAACTTGTATCATGTGTGTGATTTTTTTCATCATTTGTTATATTAATCTCAAATACTTAATTAGAAAGATTTGGTATGACTTTGTTTCTAATTTTACCTCGAATTAATTTTTAGTTTATTTTAAATCAAATATCCATACGAAGATTACGATCTTATCTTACACGTTGAAATTCCTTTATTACGATTGCTGAGATTTTTGCTCTCGTGAGAAAATTCAGCTCCAAAACTTTTTTCCTTTTCTTTTGAAAGGGACATATCACCATAGCTAAAACACTTTCATCCAATCTCATTACTCTTATAGACTTAGGTATCTTTCAAGTCATCAAACTACTCATATATATATTAGTATATATGTATCTCTAGAAATAGAATATCGATCTTTTATAAATTGCAAGAATTAATAAATTGAATTTATTACTTGTTATATAATACTCATATAAACCTCAAGAACTACTCAATATAAATAAAATCATGTTATCAGATTATTGCCTATAGATCGATCTTATACATATGCCATTGGGTGAAAAGGGGTGATCTAGTGTGGCTCTTGAATTTCTGACGAAAACTTGAACCAAAATAAGCAAATTAAATAGGAGGCTCTTTAGTAACCATCTCTTGAATTTTGATATTTTTTTTCTTTATAGATACATGACAAGAATTCTATAGGGAAGAGTTTTATTACGGGGGAAGAGGATAGACTCACCTTTCTGTGTTCTGTTTCTGTGTTCTAGTTGAGTATTCTTTGTATCTTTATCCTCTTCGATGAAATATTTTTTTTTTTTAAAAAAAAAAGCTCAACAATGGCTAAAATCCCTAATGTAACATTCCGTTTCAACATCTTCACCTCTTTTATATATATGCATACGCAACATTAGGGTGCTCTCATCCACACCTTGCCAAATGGTACAACACGATATATATCATCCATAAAAGCTTACATACAACATCCAGGATTGTCTCTCCAAATTTTGCGACCACTTTCTATAGTGTGCTTAGGGCATATAATGGTCTGATAAGAACATATATATCGATCTAGAACTTTTCATCTCCAAACATACTCTTATTGATAGTACTAGGCCTTGTAAGATTTATCCCTTTTAACACAATAAATTAAATTTCACAAGTTAGTAACATCTTGCAATCTCACATACTACTAAAAATATCTATTTACATATATAAAGAGCAAACTTGAGTAAATTATTTATGGGAATTTTAATCCCAACAATCGACGTTGTTGGTAACAAAGATATATGTACATCATACATATTGCCTAATAGGAAGGAGCACATTAAATTTAACTTTCTAGATTTATTTGAGTTGGAACCTAGCTAGTAAATGAGTCCCTTCAACATGGGTCTTATCGCCTCGAGCCAAAGCAAGATAGGATGAGGCTCTTTGCTGTCACTAGGGCATGAAAGAAGACCACCCCTGAACTCATGATCACACTCAAAGCTATAAGGACTAACATCCCTAATGCCACACTTGGTCTCAGACCCATCAAATAACACTGCAATAACTCCATTGTTTGAAAAACATGTTGGTCATAATCACCATAATACCGCTTCTCCCACTCAAACCAATCATAAGGTGCCTCTTCATTAGCCTCCAACCTCTTCATCTCCTTTATACGCCAACGCAGCACTATCATGCTCTCATCCACCAACTTCCCCCAACGATCCTTCTGATCACCACACTCACACCTCCTTCTAACCATATGCCTCTGTGTTCTATGGATTGTTAGGTACTTGGAAATCGATGACCCCCATGAAAGCTTGCAGCATCCAAGATTCGTAGCTTCCATTGATGATCAAGAACCCAAACACCTCTATTAAAACTTAAACCTTGATAGTAGTATAATGTAAAACAAATCAGAAATCACCGTTGTTATAATTATTTAGTTATTATAATCAATATTGTAATCAGAAAACAATGTCGTAAGAGATAAAGATATTGATGATATATAATCATAAAAGATGCAAACAACGAATTACTTAACGATGATCAAATTAACCGTGTTGATTGGAATATTAATATGTAGTAAAAACACTATTCAGCAACGCGGATGCATGTATCCGCGTCGTTCGTATCAGTCAGACTTAGACTAAACATGAATTGTTTAGCAACGTCAACGTTACTTGAAGTCAAGCGAAAACTACAAAAGTAATCAATGTCAGCATGAACAGTTTAGATCACGATATGAGAATACTAGACTTTAACAGACAGAAACCGAACGAATATGGAAATAAATTTATTAAAGTATTGAAATTGTGCGCTTTATGTATATTTTTTCGCTGAACCTATAGTTGTAGGTAAATTTTCTTTCATTTAGTTAAGTGGAGCACGTAACATACGAGAAACATTAATATATATATTATAAAGAAAATTACAGTATATAAATATAGACAGATCTGGAATCGGGTCGAGGAATATTAATATATAATAATTAACTATAGTAGCCGAAAATTTAGCCTGATATTGGCTGAACCGACCACCCTAAAAGTCCAGAACAAAACCGGGACTTGGTAATTTCTAACCAAGCTGCTTTGAGCATATATTCTGGTATAGTTTCCGTGACATTCAATCGATACTTGCCATAACTAATAGGACCGACCTAATAGTTGGATTAAAGTAGATGCATAAGAAGTGGTTTGTTTGTAGCCCAATAGAATTGACTTAATAGAAATTAATTAAGGTTAAAATAGATGTATGAGTTTTAATCTTTCTTATTGATGACTCATCATTTCATTGCTAGTTGTTATGTTGCCAATAAGTGTATTTATTGTTGTTTCACATAAGTTATCAACCATATATATGGACTCTCATTCTTTCCATGGGTGAATATTTGATTTCTTTTAGAAAACATTTAATACACGAAATTTTTTACTTTTTCGAGAATCTGAACGTTAATAATATTAATTTTTTGTGTTTAATTTACTATTTAAAAAATGACATTCTTAAGAAATATTATTATCTAGAAATAATTTTTGCATAGATTTTTTACGAAATTATTCTCATAGAAAAAGTGAAGAACTAACTTTTTTGAGGTAAAATTAAAGTTTTAATGTAGTAAAAATGTTATGTTACCTTTATTTTACTTATTTAATACAATAAAAATATTTGATTTTCAAATAATATTTAAAAACATCTACAAAAATATTTATGATCAATTAAACAAATCTTTATAATTCAAAAATGAGTGAACATGTGAAAATACAAATAGTTACGAAATATTAGGAGACTTAATTCAAAATAACCAACAAAATAAATTTAACATAAAACATAGTTAAATATCACACTAACACAAAAAAGATAATATTATAAAAAAAAGTAACGATATAGACTAAAAGAATTAAAAACTACAAGTATAAACACTTAAAAAAACTATTTTAAATTATAAGAATTAAAAATAATAAAAAAAGATAAAATATAGAAATTAAAAAAAAAATTATTTTAAATTATAAAGACTAAAATATAAAATAAATGAAACGAAATCAAAACATCATTTTAACCTAAATTTATTTAGGTCATACCCTGTAATATTAATATTAAGGATGCCTCGTGTCTCTCCATTCGTTCTACCACTCTTTCTCAGTAAATCTGTAAAAATAAGTGTACTTCATCAATGAGATTGCATGTTAATTAATCGAGTACTGTTTGGGGATGGCTATTGGATGAGGTGAAAACCATTTTTAATTTCACTATTCACAGTGAATACGAAGCAACACATTGTTGCGGGAAAATCACTTTTTTTATTTTTTTATTATTATTTTTTTTTTTTACATAGTTTTAGGGACTTACCATGATTTTTGAGGGAATCCAAAAACACCGTAAGTGACTCAATTTTATACAAAAGTACTATAACTGTATAACATATTAAAACAATACCTTTCTCAAAAAAAGAAATACCATTCTTAAAAAAATAATGCTTGCTTCAAAAAGAAAATGCTTAGAATAAGAATCTTGAAGAAACAATTAATCGTCTTAAGTTGACAAATTACTTATTCAGAATTATTTAAAATAAGAGAAATAAAATTATATCTTTTATATATATAACCTTCTAATATTTTTATAATCGCTTAACTTAGAAAATAAAAATTAACTCTACTTTTCCTTCTCCGGCCTCTAAACTTCTTTATCCAAAAGAAACCCTAATTAAAATATCCCTTTATGTACACATAACCTTTACATTAATTATTAATATTAATCAAATTAAATAATCCTCATTTTAAATACATGCTAACATCTTGTATTATATATTATGATATGTGACTTCTTCATTAATAGTTCTTATTTTACATACTCTTTTTTAAGAAAATGAATTATTAATTATTTTTAAACTTTTGTTTTACAATAAGATTGTTTATAAAATCTTAACTTTAATTAATTTAAAATTCTAATACTATTTTTTATTTTAAATATCAGTTATCTAAATTCTTTTTAAAATTTATTATTTTCCTCTTGAACGTAAATTAATTGTTTTTATTTGAACTAATTATACATATTTTTTTTTATAATTTTAAATATTTTACTTATTTTTAAAATTTACTTTATTTAAAAAGGATTTATACATCATACGAGCTATTTAATTAGTTTAATAAAATGTCATAGTTTGTGAATCTAGCTGTGTCTATCCAATATGAACAAGTTAAATCCGCACTTCTATTTTTCCTCACGATTAATTATTCAACCATTTTATCTAGAAAATTTTGATACGGCTGGTTTAAGCAAACTTTTCTCAACAAATTAAAACATATTTGTTTTTCCGTTTGATAGGTCCCAAATCCTGGTTAAATTACATACTTTCATAAACCAAAAACATATCTAATAGGTTTAAATTCATGGAGAGAAAAAAATCTATAAAGAGATATAATTTCAACATTAAAATAAACACGTCAAATTAAAAGCCCATATCAATTTTTTGGTCCAAGCAATGATACCTAAGGCAGACCTCTCACAATACGGTTGACAACCCTCGTGTTAAGGTTCTCTATGCTTCTGATCTCACTAAATTCAAGTTGGTGGATTGGATATTCGTTCCCATGATTGCTGTTAATTTTTGGGAAAACTTTATTATCATAAATGATACTTGTAAAGGGATTCAATGTAGCTAAAGTAACAAACAAGATTACTTGAGAAATGGTATGCTGAACTTGGTAAAGGAACTCAGGGAATGAGACATGATGAAAGAAAAGTCAAAGTTGAATGGGCTCAAAGATGATCAATTGCAAGTCCTTGTACAGAACAACCAATTGCATAACAAATAAATGATACCTTAATGGGGTAACAGATTAACATGTAGTCACACACTTGTTTTGCTTGTGGATGATATTTAAATTTTAAGAAATTATTGAAGGAATCTATAGTTTTATACAAGAGTTTAGAAACTATTGATAGCTAAAAGAAACCAATATGGAAGAAGTGAACCTTAGACTCATTAATGGTGAATGACATCTACATCAATCATCGTATGAGGTATGAGGAGAAGCAGTGCAACCAGGATCAAATGGATCTTCAGAACCACAGCAATGCCAATATTGAAAAACTTTGCCAGCGTCAGGAGTATTCATGGTGCCCCCTTCATACACACTCTCAAACTTTCTCTTGGTTTCTCCTGCGGTATAGGAAGATAGAAAGAGATGTGAATCAAGGCCAACTAAAATCCAGCTAGTAATGCAAATGAATAACATGATATCGAAATGCACAAATTTTCATCAATTTAATGGTCAGACGAAATTCCTAAGGTGTATGTTTATCCCATTAAGGATTACACAGGATTTGCTTCCACTTTAGTCTCACTAGCTAAACCTTTAACTAAAATACTTGTATGACTGACAAATTAGCCTTATAATTGCATAACCTCACATATAAGCTTGAGGTCTTAACCTTTTCGTAATAGATCCTTCTTTAATCTCAGTTTTGCTAATAGTTTAATTTCCTTTTTTTCGACTCACATTATGGCTCTGTACCAGTAAAAGAATCCATATTTTGGCCAGAATTTTTGGCTGCAGAAAGCGTTATTTAAGAGTGAAACCGCAGGCTTAAGAAGGCATGAGTTCTAAAGAAGTGATTCCTCATGAATGTCCATGAATATGATGAATTACTCTTCAAGCTTTGTCAGCAGAAAATAAAAATATGCTGCCCTACAACATAGGCTCTTGATAAGATCATAAGATTTTTAACTCTCCTTTCTCTGTAGCATCAGATTTATATTTATAGTATGTTAGTTTATTTCATTTGGGGCAGATTACTGATTGGATTTACACCCAATACACGAGTAGTATACAGACCAGCATACTAAAAGCTATATAGATTATGCACATGCCTTGTCAGCGAGATCTTGTGAATAAGCAGGCCAATTAGAATTTGTCTTTAAAATTGAGTTTAAACCTAACTCAGATTTAGAAAACTAACTTGTAATGTGAAAATTGTCCAACTTGTAAAAATCTTACTTAGGTCGTATCTCTACTTGCAAAAGGCGGCTTTCCAACAAGCTTTATATCTACAGTCCATTTCTAAAACAAATATGAAATCTCCCCATTCAAATGAAGGAAACGAATGAGTTTTATATGCGTATGTTACGTGTCCCCACTAAATCAGAACTTTAGCTAATGAAAGGAATTCGGTATTCTCAATATAATCTTGGATATAATAATGAAGTTGTCGTGCCTTCATTTCATATTGGTCTTTATAACTACATACAAGTCTGAAGTCTATAAAATTTAGAAGTAAAGAGTTAAGGATAACCATATTTACAATTACAAGTCTAGTGACACTTTTATCACAGGACAAGTAACAACCTCAATGAAGACAGACAATTTCGAAAAAGAAAAAGAAAACTATGTTCTCGTAAATTAACTTAGTTATCTTGAGTAATGTGAGTTTTTTACCTGGGCTTTAATTAAATGATTTAAGATCTTTGGAAGGATTCTTATTTCACATCAAAAGTGAGTTTCTGAATTAATGAATAAATCTTGGCCAACTTCTCAGGAAGAACTGTATTATCTTTATGTGCGCCAAAACATATATATTCATGCAGCAATGAATTTGAAGGGACATTCAGCTCAAGGTATTCTAGGTAATATATCATTAAAAGAATCATCTCATTCCTTTTGAAATTTTATAGTACAATGACAAAACACAGATTTTACCATCTGTTGAGCATTAGTTAACTGAACTAAACATTGGCAGCCATAACAAATGAAACATTGACAAAAACATTCTTAAGACATGGCCACAATCAAAAGCTTCAATAGACACATAACTGAAACAAAAAAACCACTAAGCTAGGTTGAGGTATCTCCATCTTAGCACACATAATATGTGGTGGAGTTTATCTTTGTCTGTGTAATTGGAGTTAATTATTCCACTGCAACATTGAAAGCTTTTAAAGGGATTAATTAGTTGACGTCGAAAGTCAATATGAGTTGCATCATTTCCCTTTTAACTTGGTTCAGACCTAATATTCCATTTTATGCAAAATTTCTTTTTTCTTTTCAAATCAAAAAAATTCAAAATTTAAACTTAAACCTAAACATTTTGCAAAGGTGAAATAAGCATGAACAAAGTGAGAAACGAAGTGGGGCACCTCCAAAATGGGCAGTATGAAAGCGACAAGCAAGAGGGTGGTTGAGTGCAGGGTCGAATTGGGTTTTGCAGTTCTTGCAAGTTTTGAGGTTGATGCTGCCTTTGTTGTTCAAAGTAGAGAAACACCGAACAGATGAGAATTGAAGGACGTGTGTGTATGTGTTGTTTGGCTTTGATGAAGGAGCAAAATGCGTTTTGTTGCCGTGAAGGAGAGGATGGTGAGAAAAGGAGAGAGCCATCAATGGACCTATCACAATTCACAACACACACAGATAACAATTGTATTGTATGCTTAGTTTCTTACTTTTCTCTCATCTCTCAACAGTGTTTTCACTTTCATAAAAATGTAAGAACCAATCATGATTTTTAATTAACTTAACTCATGTTGCAATAATAATTTTGTAATTCCTCCTTGGAATAAAAATAAAATTGATTTTGTATTTTCCATTGTTAACCTACTAGTGGAAAAAAGCACCAAGGGTATCTATGTATTTTTTAAAAGAAATAAAAATGAAATAAATAATTATTTGAAGAGAAAAAACTTTTGAGAGTAAAATTACCATGAAATAAAAAAAGTAGTGTCAAGAGGTGTTATTTGAAAGCAGTTATAAAAGTAAATAGTTAAAAGAATTGTGTATATTAAATAAATATTTATCTTTATTATTAGTATATATTTATTAACTAGTAGAAGAAAAAACTTGGTTTCACTGTAGTGAGAGTTGCCTTTTAAAAATATATTGGCATAAATTTGTTTTCTAGTTATACGTAGAAAGAGGAAAACAAAGAAAGTTAAATAAAATATGAAATTCTATTTTTATTACTTTATATATTTAATTCATAACTTTTATTTTTTAATTTTTAAGCTCCATAATTTTAGTTCAAATTGTTAAAATTCTAATATTAAGCATGATGACGAAATATATATCATTAAATAATTAATATTTAAATTAAATTAAATTGTATTTTAGTTATTTTTTACATTAAAATTATACTTTAGTCTTGTTATTGCCCTTTAAAAACGGTAAAAGGAGATGAGAACAATTTAAAAAATTAATTTCCAAAATACAGGATAGGAAAAGCTGGGCCCAGTAAAGGAATAAGTGGGTTGGGTTGTTGGTAATACATGAGCCCAAATCTAAACCCAAATTTGATTATTGAGAAGCATGAAACAAACCACATCCAGGTAAAAGAAGGGGGAGAGTGTAGAGAAGAGAAGAAAGAAGAAGATGGAGGTGAGTTTATCCTCAACATCATGCATACCCATTAACTCCAAGTTGAAGCTTAGTCATCCCCTTTTCCACTCTCAATTTCCCATTCACACAGCTTCAACCAAAACCACAAAAACCAAACCTTTGTTCATCGTTAACGCCTCGAGACAAACCCTCTCCTCCAACTGGAACGTTTCCCAACACCATTTTTCTGCATCCACTGCTTCCCCATGGCTTCCCAGATTCGAGGAACTCGACACCACCAACATGCTTCTCCGTCAAAGGATTATCTTTTTGGGTTCTCAGGTTCTCTCTCTGCATTTTAAATATTTTGGGATGGATTTTGTTGTTTCCATAATTTAAGATTACCCTTTGTTTTTCTAGTCATGTTTTTAAGGGGAATTTGAAAGCCTTTTCATGTGGGTTCATCATTCCAAAGCTCCCCACAATACGATAAGAATGAACAAACACGAGAGAGAGAATAAGAAAATTAACATGATAGTGTGGAATTGCTGAAGAGATAATGTTTGATGCTGTTCATTTTGAGAATTCTTTTGCTTGTTAATGTTGGTTGATTCTGAATCGTGGGCTGCCCCCAACAACAAAATAAAGAAGAAAAAAGCGGCCAAGGGAATGCAATTAAAGAGATAGTATCTGATAGTGTGTTTGTGAATTGCTTTGTTTGATCAGGTGGATGATATGACTGCAGACTTTATCATCAGTCAACTTTTGTTTTTGGATGCTGAAGACTCAAAGAAAGACATCAAGTTATTTATTAATTCACCTGGTGGTTCTGTTACTGCTGGTATGTGGACGAGTTTTTTATTCACTTTTTTTACTTTTTTATTTTTATCCATCTGACTCAAAGAAGCACTTGACTTTTCAGCTCAATTTTGTAATTGGATGTTAACTCACGAGCTTTCAGTTTAGTGTTTTTCTGCTTTTGGTTACATAAACTGACACTTAGCTACTAGAGTATTGACTATTGACTGCAACATTTTTATATGTCTATAAGCAAAATATAATTAAGAAGCAACGAGTTGTTGGCCTGTGTTATACCATGCCGTATTTATTGATAAATCGAATAAATTGTTGATGATTCACAAGATAATTCGGATATGTAAAAATTTGAATCATGTTAGAGCATTTAAAAGGTTCTCTTGATAAGAGATTGAAATATTGAATGTGTTGGATGTGTGATTATAGGATAGGATAGGAACCTACTATTGAAGTTTGGGGCATTGTTCAGTTCAATGAATCTGAAATATGTTTGTCTTCTGCTAATTGCTCTTTGTTTATCATTTCATGTAGGAATGGGAATTTATGATGCCATGAAGTTATGCAAGGCAGATGTGTCAACTGTTTGCCTTGGGCTTGCTGCATCCATGGGTGCTTTTATCCTTGCTTCTGGTTCAAAAGGGAAGAGATATTGTATGCCAAATTCAAGAGTTATGATCCATCAGCCACTTGGAACTGCTGGTGGAAAAGTAAGATTGTCCTCTTATATTTGTTGGCTTTGATGATTGTCAATTAAAAGTAGTTGTGAAGCTTTTAATGGTGATTTTCGTTTGCCTTTGTATTATCAGGTTAAAAGTAAAGCTAATTTAAGATTTCAAGCATGAGTTAGAGAAGTATAGGATGTCAAAGCATACAATACCATTTAACTGCAAATTCCTTTGTTAACTCAATTCCAACTTGAAATGAGTAAAAGAACCTCTGTTTAAAAAAAAAAAAAAATAGACTCTAGAAAATATTTTGCTTAAATATAACTAATAAACTGATAAGCTGATGTTATTTGATTTGTATTTATGCCAAAAACTAAACTATTCTTTTTGCATACTCTATCAACTAAATGGGACTTCTGTGGCTTATAAGTTACAGCAAAATCTTCAATAACCAATCATGCTAATAATAAGCCATTTGGCATTCTGAACTGACGACTGATTTATGTTTTTCTGTTGTGGGTTATTAATTGTCCTTCTATTTTTGTTATGCATCTGGCTATCAGTTGATTTATAAAGTAGTTGCATTGCATACCATCAATTTCAATGAGTAATGGGTTCACCATTGTTTATCTTATCTTGCATTTATCAACTCCAACTTCCTAATTTCTATATCCCTTTTTAGTTTTTTTTTTTTTTTTTT